TTCACTAGAGCTGATGTTTTCAGAGGGCTGACTCTCTCTCTCTCTCTCTAGGACACAGTTGTTGCCTTGCAAGCCTTAGCAAAATATGCAGCAAGGACATTCAGCACATCAGGTCAGGCACTTGTGAGGGTGAAGTCCCAGAGGGGCTTTGGGAAGGCTTTCCAAGTCAACCGCCAGAAGCGGCTTCTGGTGCAGCAGGCAGCACTGACTGAGGTCCCGGGGCAGTTCCTGGTGCAGGTCCATGGCAGCAGCTGCGTCTTCGTTCAGGTGAGATGGTGGGACGAGCATGGGAGAGAGGGGAGGTGGAGGTCTCTGCGTCTTCTCCCTGCATAAGATCATGCCTGGCCTGTCTTCTCCCCTCCTGGCCCTGCAGACAGTGCTGAGGTACCACGAGCCTCCCCCACGGGCTGCTGTAACCTTCACTCTGCGTGTCAACACAGAGCTGACCAACTGTAGCCAGGCCAATGCACGTGTCCTCACTGTCCGCATCCTTGCCAGGTGACCCCAAGGGTTGTTTCCTCCTCCAGCAAGACCCGCTGTGCTTGGGAACAGCAGCCAGGAAAGCCTCAGGGCTGCAATGGAGGGACCTGGCATTTGGGGCGGACAGGACAGAGGATGAATTTGGTGTGTGGAAGGGGTGGGGAAGGAAGGTGCTGGCTGCCTCCTGCGAGAGGGAGCTGTGGCTGCCATGTCCCCAGTCCCAGATAGGCTACCTGGCTCAGGGTCCTGCACACAGGGTATGGTGGTGGAGGGAAGCGGGGCTGGGAGGGCATTATTTTCACAGGGTCAGACCCTCTGACTGTTTCTTCTTCTTCAGCTACATTGGGAGCAGAGTCACATCCAACATGGTGATCGTGGAGGTCTCCCTGCTGTCTGGATTCGTCCTGGCTCCCGGTTCCAGGGTGTTGGTAAGGACTTTGAAATAAAAAAAAATAGCGGCTGGGGGGGATGGGGGCCCCACCTGCTTGCTCCTGTTGGGAAGTGTTCATTTCAGGCCATGAGGTGACTAAATTAACAGGGGTCCTTTGCTGTTGTAATTGGACTGAAACCTCTCATTTCCATACAGGGGCCACAAGGGTTGGCTACAGGAGATCATAGGTGATTTAGCTTTTCCTGCTGACACTATTCTGCCTTGGGCCAGGAACAAAATGTGCTGCTGGTGTGCTAAACACTGGGATTTGTTTGCCAGAAATTCTAAGACAAGATTTCTTACAGAGACTCTAGTTCTAGCCAAAAAGATTATGTTTCCAATTAAGCCATAAAACTGAAAGATGAATTATTTGCACAGCCCCCAGGCAGGTCTTTCACAGCAGTCTAGCAGTCAGTGAGATGAGATAACCAGAATCTTTACTGGTGCCTGCACTTATTTGCTGACCAATGCATCATTCCTATGTACTATCCACATGATCTGTTGTCCCCAGAGTGGGAGATTCCTCTAACTGAGCAGGGACAGCATAGTTCATCCCCAAGATGCTCACAAGGGATGTCCAGGAGGGAATACTAAAGATGTAACCACTAAAACCCTTATGCGTGGGAAAGACACAGTTCCATACACAGTCCAGCTCCCCACCATCCCTTCAATAAAACAGTGAGTCCCTCAGGTCAGAAAGCCCTAAGAAAACTGCTCACAGATTTCTTTGTGTTATGGTTTCCTATCCCAGCTGGAGCACAGAACCATCGTTAAGAAAGTAGAAGTGAAAGCTGATGTGGTCTACATTTACCTGGAGAAGGTAAGTGGGAACAAAAGCATTTGGTTTGGCACAGCAAGAGCAAGAGGCCAGAGAACAAGGAGCTGTGTGAGAAGCCCAAGGCTGGGCTAGGCAGGGGGAAAGAGCACTGGCAGAACTGTGGGCAGAGGAATCTTGCCCAATTTCATTGTCATTGGGTTACCATTTCTCACACATACTCCATTTCTAAAATCCAGAATCTCTAATGGATTAGAGACATTTAGTGCGGGAAAACATTCAAGCTAGGGAAGATGAAGATGTAATGACTTCTTTCTCCCCTTCCTTGCTAATTTCTTTCCATCTCCACAAGCTCAACGATGAATCTCAGACTTTCATTCTGCAACTGGAACAAGTAATTCAGATGAAGAACCTGAAATCGGCCAGCATCAAAGTCTATGATTACTACCAGCCAGGTCGGTTGCAGATTCCCTCCTACTCTGGGATTGGGAGCTGGGTTCCTAGCTTTCTGGCTGGGAAAAGATGTGCACTCTCCTCTGTGTGCATGCATGTGTGTGTAATCAACTTCCTAATTTCCTTTTGCAGAGGAGCGAGCCTTGGCTGACTACAGTGCTGTCTGTAGTTGAGGTAGGCAGCAAGTCCTTGTGTGACACAAATAGCGGCATCAGGAGATAATGGATCTTGGGTGGGAGAGAGGGAATGTAAGCAGTCAAGGATGGGAAGGAGGATGGTAATCAGTGGGGAGCATACATCCAGCTAGAAAGAGGAACTGGCAGTTGCCTGTGGCTAGGTGTGTGGAGCTAGGATGGGGGCTCTTTTGCAGCCAAGAAGGCAGCTGGAAGGCTCTGGTGGAAGACGGAGACCAGGACAGCATCTCCCAAAATGAGAGTGAGGAAGGAAGGGCTGAGCATCATGTGGAATGAGAATGCAGATTTATAGCAGCCTGTGCTAACAAAGGGCCCTCAGACCTGGACATGGCTCCATTCCCTCCACCCCCCACTATATTCATTGCAGGGTAGGAAAGGGGGATTCAGGGAGCCAAAGGAGCAAGCTGAAGCTGGGAAGATGTAATATTTTGTCTTGTGGGGTGGCACACCCAGCTGCCAGAAAGGGGATGGCTTGTTAGTAGTAGCCTGAAGCCAGGACAGGTCTGCAGAAGTCCCTTCTGGAAAGATAAGACAGAATCTTGACATGGTACATGGTGCATCCTGCCACCGTCCCACAGAGAGAGTGGTGCCTAGGGACCTGCCTAGAGAGCCACCCCCACTGCTAGCCAAGACAAGGCACCTTCCACAGCCTGATAATAGCCATGGAGGGTCTGGGTCATGCCCTCCTTGTTTGTCTTACCTTCTGTGCCCACAATCGCAAATGGTTCCTCAGAAAGGGGCAGAAGAGGTCCCAAATGTGTGATAAAGGAGAGGAACTGCCACACCGTCAATCCTGCCTTTGCCCAATATTTCAGGTTGGGCACTGAATGGAAGGAAGTGCCCCAGCTGGGACACAGCCCACATTACAGTTGAGTCCATGTGGTCCTGCGCCTGAGCGGATGCACTGTGAGACCGCAACAGTCCAGCAGTTGTACCTGTACTGTGAGGGCCTGGCTTGGGGCGGGGGGTGGGGGTGGTCACATATTTGGTACACACCTGGGAAGAAGAATTAAAGTAAGCATGACCCCTGAGCTTGCCGCCATTGTACCAGTTGTTGATGAACTACGGGCTTAGCCCATGAAGACACAATTTCTGCCAGTGCCAATGTACAAACCGTCTAGCTCCTCTATTGCTCTCTCCTCATGCTTCCCATGGTTTCTCCTAATAATTCCTGCAGTAGGACTCAGGCAGCTTTGGAGTACAAGATGCAACTGAACATGCTGTGACAGCTGTATCTCCTGTGCCCTTCCTGCAAACTTCTGTGCTTCTTTGGAGCAGTCTCCAGACAGTAATGCAGTTCATTGAGACTCTAGCCCCTACCCCCAGAAGTACAGCCTTGCCAATTGCCCTTGATAAAGGTCTCTAAATGTGACTGTTGGCCAAAGGAACCGCTGAACATATCCCAGCCCTCCCTTGCCTTCAGCTCCAGCTTGTGTGATGGTCACCTCGCCCAAGTACCAGCTCTGCCTTGATGCATGCTCTACCTCCTCCTGTGGAAGTCTGCTACTAGAGAGGCAGAGTTTGCTTATATACATGTACATGCACACACAGAGCAGAGCTGAAGAAGTTATTTTTCCCAGGTGCTTTTAAATGCAATTTTCCTGGTTTGGGAGAGAAACAGTAAACCTCAATAATCACTCAATCAGACAGTTCTAGTCTCCTGACTTTTAATAAGATGCCAGGCATAGTCTGAGCCTTTCAGAAACTAACTACTCAGCAGGAAATTTCAAATATTTTCTCTTTGCTTCTCATCTCCATGTGGTGGCTGTTGGCAGGGGTGACAAAAGACTGAGGGACAGAGACTGCAGAGGATGGGTCTGTCCCTGTTCCTGTGAAAACAACAAAGGACAAAAAAATCTGTGTTCCTGGAGTATTAAAACTAACTACTAGGAACTCAGGGGTTTTTTTGCACCTTGTGACCAAATGGGACTGCCAAGCCATCAAGGACAGGGTGCTCTCTGACTATTCACACAAAGCCTATGGCAGAATCTTTGCTAAGAGTGTGGGGCTTGTGGCAGGCATCCCAGGGCAGGGCTATGTGCCTCCCACAGGTAATTCATGAAGCAAGTGTTTTTCTCCATCTTGTGGGCTGTGGGCAAGGAAGCATGCAGATGCAAGCAAAGTTTAGAACAGGAGCAGGCACTGATCAAGTTCAAGCTTTGCTTTTGCCCAGCCTGGAAAGAGGATGGGCAGGTGCCTGTTCCCTAGCATGGATCAGAAGGCAGGCTGAGACTGTGAAAGGCTTGACACTGAAAAGGAGTCAGGCCCTGCAGCAAAGATGAACATGGTGTGTTGCATGCCAGAGCTGGAGGGCTGTGGAACTGCAGGGAAAGTGCCAGGAAAAGGAATTGTGTTGATTTGAGGAAAGTATATTTAATGCAAAATGCTAGGACTGGTGGTAGGAATAGGCAGCCCTTGTTTTCTGTAACATACCTCCAACTCTGTCATGAGCTGGGCACCTCAAACCTTCCACTTCAGTTCTCCCTTTCCCTCAGTTTAACCACTGGGATACAGGAACTCACCCTTACTTAGCATTGCTAATCACTTCCTACCCTGAACCTGCAGTCTGGCAAGTTTCTTGACCAAGGGCCCTTGCCTGCATCTCCCTCCCTCTCCATACTCTTCAGGACCATGCCTGTGATGACAAAAGAGGTGTTGGGCCCTCACCTCACTCACACGGGGCACTGTAGCTCATCACTGTAGTTTCTTCTGGAAGACAAGAAAAAAAGTGCTGGTGAGATACACTTGCCAAAAACTCACTAAAGCAACCCAGCATTGTGCCTGTTTCTAGGAGAGGCATTCCCTCATCTTACAGGCCACGACTGCCCTCTGCTGTGACACATGAAACCACTGGTATGTGTCAAAGGCTTTGTGTGCAGCTAGTCTGGATTCACCCAAGTCATGGGGCTTGCGATCTTTTGAAGCCATAAGTCTCAAACAGCTCCATTACTGTTATGGATTCCTCACTTACTGAAGCCATAGCATTCCCTGACACATTTCTAGCTTTTCTTCCCACTAGGGACCCCAGAGAACAGAGGACAAGTTGTTTACAGTGTGATTCCTCTGAGGGGGCCCTCACTCTTCTAAGCCATCCCCTCTGCCTTTGCTGCCTCCCACAAAATGAGGGTACAAAAGCACAGCTCTGAGCTCCTTGCTCCCCTCTTGTTGGAGAATTAGACCCTAAGTGGATCTACATGCCAACTTCAAGCTTGCAAGTTGTAGGACCAGCGAAAGAAGGATCTACCATTTTGAAACCCAAGAAGGTAAGTCTATCACTGGAGAGCTTCTAAGGAGCAGTTAGATAAACATTTCAGGGATGGTATTGTCTTAGACTTGACAACGTCAGAAAATTTCTTTCCAGAGGTACATTTAGGTGGTTTCTGCAGGACAACATCTGAGCTCACCTGGCATGTAGTAATCGTAGACCTTGATATTAGCTGGCTTACGGTCCTTCACTTGCATGTCCTGCTGCACCAGCAAAGTGTAGGTGTGAGGTTGTCTAGTCAGCTAAAACCAAGAGATGCAAGGATTACAGCCAGAACCAAAGTCCTGTAAGACAATCCCTTCCACCTGCTCTCACTCAGGTTCTGTGGAGACCTCACCACTGTGACAGATCTGTTCTGCTTTCCAGTCCATCTCATCTTTTACTTCACATTCTGTGGCCATCTCCCTTTTTTGGTCACCAAATTTAACTCGGCTCATGAGAAACATCAAACCCACAGAGTCAATGTGCATTAGGTATCTAAATACAGCACTAGTATTCCCAACCAATCCCACATTCCCATCCAGCTTTGCTCTGAGCTCCTTCATGCACATTGCCTCAGTGGCTACTTTCTTATACACAGTCCCATTACATCAGCTCTTATTCTCCCATCTCACACAACCCTCATCATTAAGCAGGCGAATGCAACGTGTGGATGAACATCTGCTGGATGGTAGTAGTTACATGATCTGGTGTTGATTAGGTTCCACCTTGTGCTACCTGGTGGAAAGAAGAAATGTTTCTTTGTGCTGCCTTTCTGCTCTGTGCTGTAGATGTAACGAAAGCAGCATCTCTGCAAGTCTAATGCATCCACATGACAATAACCTGCTTACTATGAGGCTAGTTTAGCTCAGTTTTTTGAGAACTGGGGATGAAGAATCACAGAAATGTAGAAGTGCTCCTTGGAAATTCTGAAATTTTTCAGTTCATGCCAGGTCTTGTTTCTGGTGCCGTTTAGATATGCATGTAGCTAGAGAAAGGCTGGAGTGGTTGTTAATTTGTTGATTAATGAGGTGGTGGAGCACGCACTGTGGCTTACATAACCATCTGGTTTAATTTTGAGTGATCTTGGCAAATTCCGTGAGAAATATTGGATGCTCCCTACCACATTCAGGCTGCTTAAGGGATTCTAAGAATTCAGGCTTGGTTGAATTTACTAGATGGATCCTACTGCTACTCCACAATCCTGATCAGACACTGTATATGGACTGTCAACCCTCTCTGAACAGTGCCAACAGCTGTAGGCTTAACATCAGTTAGCCTCATTTCACTCAAGTGGCCCCGTATACAGGCTCTACAGCTGAACTACTGCAGACTGACACAACACACTTCTCCAGGTCAGCAAATGTGGCTGGTATGCAGGAATAACAGCTCTGGATACTTAAAATACTAATGGAACCAAGATACAAGTTAAGCTAAAAGCTATCTGCCAGTCCATAGTCCTTTTAATGATGATAGTCTAAATTCCACTCACTTCCTCCAGGTAGATAATGACTCGGTCAGCTTCGCTTTCAACTTTCTTCACTAAAGGCATTTTCTTCAGCTGAAAATAGGGGAAAAAAAGTCAGAAAGACTCTAACAGAAAGCAGAAATATTCAGGGATATTTGTCCTTATGACAGCATAGACAAAATGTTCACATGGCCAAGGAAGCCCTTGGGATAGGGGAAGGCAAGGTGAAGCCTGGAAGAGACTTTGGGTATAAAGATTTCTTGGGAAGAAAAGAACCATGTTTCTCTGCCCACAGGAATTATCACAGTTCTGCATACAATCCTGCATGATGGGCATCCACCACTGTTCCCATCCCAGCTGGACACAAACTCGCGGTCTCACCTCTTCCAATGAACCTGCCACAGGGCTGTATCCAGACAGCAGTTCCACTTGGATCAGGACCATGTTGGTGGACACACGGTTCCCTGTGTAGCTGCAGCAGAAACCCAGGGGACAGCACTAATGTTACTTTCTGAGCCATGATCTCTAGATACTCCAGCCCAGCTTTGGTACTCAGGTGGAGGAATCTGCCTTTCCTTCCAGTGTTTCTCCTGTAAGCATACCTGTTCCTGTACTGTAATAAATCTTTGTGCTTCCCTGATCTCTCTTTCAATTGTGCTGAGCCAAGGAGAATAAACTCCTTGGAAGGCTTCTGGAGTTACCTTCTCTAGGCATGGCAAGGAATATCACATCCTCCACCTATTCTCTTGGCAATTCTGTCCCAAGTCAGGCAGGGGTACAGCAAAGGAGTGGTGTGACGGTCAACCAGGAGCAGAGGAGGGAAGACTTAGGAATAACTGTCAGCAGTCAGTCCCACAGGACCTTCATGTCACTAGTGTTTTGAGACCTAATCCTAGAAGGGAGTGAGACCCATAGACCTTGGGAGAACTTGTGGTGACTGGCATGGTAATGAGATAGGACTGTACCCTGAGACATCCCTCTGGGGCCTTGTGCCTTTCACCCAGCTGAGGAGAGCATAGTTAAATGAATGGGGACATCTCAGCACTTGGACCTCAAGAGTGAAGGGGAATCCTGGCCATCAAGAGACTGATGTGGCGCCAGAAGACTCTTAGCACAGGGGAGGCAAGGGGCAACTGAGTGTCTCCTACCGAGCATGAATGGTGACAGGGAACTGGGTGGCGCTGGGTGCCGTGCACTCTGTCTGCACTGATACGGCAAAGGTGACGTCACTCCTCAGTGGAGGGATGTGGTACCGCAGAATGGCCTGCCGGGACAGAAAGAAGCTAGTTGGCAGAGAATAGCTTTTTTCTTTTTTTTTTTTTTGCTGGAGAGTACTCCTTGTCTAGTGTTTGGCTGCTGTTTGCTGTCTTGCACTGCTGTAAGAGAAAACTATGTGGCAGAAGCAGAGGTTCTGCTAGTGCACTGCTCCTGATGGAGTTCTTGAAGGAGAGGTGGAGCTCTGACCGGGTGGAGACGACCCAGATTTCATTTGGGGAATTACTGTTCCCTTCCTGTTGGATCCCAGCTACTCCTACCAGCCTTGAAGCCCAGATTCTTGCAAGTCACTGCAGCAGTCTGTTTTCAGCGTTTGCTAAGTAGCAAGGTGAGACGTTCCCTGGCTTTCAAGGCTTTTCCTCAGAGATACCTTTTCTCCCTGTCTGGGCTTACCTGCAGGAAGAGGCACCCATGGCCCTCCACACGCACAGTATAATCTCGGGGAATGGCTGGCAGCTCCACTGTCTGCAGCAGGAGGCGATTAGTGTTGTCTACTCGGATATTTTGGTTGAAACCCTCAGAGGAGAGAGAAGCCTGAAGATCAGGGCCGTCCTTGCTGAAGGTCTTGGTTGCATACAGGGCTAGGGCTTCCAGAGCAACCACAGTGTCCTGAGGAAAGAGACACGCATTGGGCAAAGTAGCATCCTTTCTTCCTGTGCCTGCCCAGTCCTTTCCTTCCCTCATACTGCAGCTACAGCATAATAAGGGTTGAGCTTTCCCCTTTTACTTTTAGCATGGGATTAACTCAGAAGAATAAAAATATTCACCTTTTCCCAGCTCCCAGGAGCTGTAAATCCATACATCTTTTTTTCTTTTTTTTTTTTTTTAGTTTGTTACTATGGGCTGTGCTAGAACCCATTGTTCTCACAAACCATAGCTGACAGCAGGTTCTCTGATGATGATGGCTCAAGGGCATTACCTGGGTTGAAGCAAAGCCTCCATAAGGGTTTTGCTGCTTGGTAAGCCAAGACACAATCTGGGATGCCTTTCTGATTTCATCTGAAGACAAACTTGACTTTGAAAGGTGAGCCATGAGGATACTAGATGTCAATTCCACATCAACAGATGGAGCCCGATACCAATATAGGGAGTCTTCTTCTTGTTTGGACTGCTGACTCCAGAATATTTGGTCATCTAGAGGTGGAGTGGGAACACTTATGAAGTGTGTAGCTGTATCTAATGACCTTGGAGTCCTACTCAGTCCCTGTGCCTAGGTACTGAGTGAACATGTACATTGGGACAAGATATGGGTGCATATCTCTCTATTTGTCCCCCACACCCTGCTTTGCCAAGTAAAAGCCTAGACCTGCAGGCTGGGAAGGAGCTCTGCAATATCCATGAATCTCCCCTGGTTTAGATGACTGAGAGACCAGGAGTGTGAGATCATCCATAGAGAAAGCCTGTCTCCCAGTATGGATATAGCCTGTGACAGCTGGGCAAACAGAGGCTATCCAAGCCTTGGGCTCCCCACAGAGCTCTGCCAGTGCCCCCAACTCCTGCCCTGCATTCCCTTGTTCGTTCAGCCAAGTCAAATTGTGTTCCACACAGTTCTGTTAATGGCCCTCTCTCCTGTCCCACAGTCTCTGGTACCTGTTATTATGGCAGCCTTATCCAATCTTTTGAGGATTTTCTGCCTGAGGGCCTTATCACCTGCTGCTGCAAAGGCGTTTGCGGCTAGTGCCAGGCTGTAGAGGTTGGAACTGCCAGTATCAGCATTGACCAGGTCCTTTATACATTTCAGAGCTTTCCACACAACTGGGTCCTAGGATACAATTGAAAGCACACCAGTTTCTGGCAGGGTGTATGGGGAAGGAATGCAGCCTTGACATGTGCAGAGGAGGGTGGAAACAGGGACAGGACACATGGGGAGAAAACTGGTAACATACCCCTGTGTGCACAAAGGCAGAGTGCCAGTGCACTGCCTGCCAAGAGGCTGCATGCACAGCCCGTCCCTGCTGCTGATACTCACGGAATGTGGCATCCCTGAGTGGATGAGAGCTGTGACGACCACAGAGCTCAGCCCCAGTCCTTCCTCCACTGCACCCTGCAGTCACCACAAAACAGAGAAGAGGAGGGATGCTGTGAGAAGGGAAAGGGAGAAGTTTTCCAGTGCCTTCTGCTCCCCAAGCAAAAGCCAGTGCAGGCAACAGTGCTGGTTCTATTCATTCTGCTAAGGAAGTGATGTTCCCACAACCCTGCTGCAAGGTGGCACATGACTTGAGGGCCAGGACAGGGGCAAGGGTATGGAGGAGCAAAAGGAAAGGTATCTTTTGCAAGGGGAAGTGAAAGGTACCATTCTTTTCACTTAGAGGATTAATTATCTGAGGTCCTGTCCACCAAACTGCTGCTGGCTCCACTTTGGTGGTACTCTGTGTGTGTCTGTGCATGCACAAGTTCTGTGTTTCTGAGTGTATAGGGCACAGGCCTGGCAAGGTGAATCTCCCATGAGTGGCTGCCATCAATCTCCATTCACTCAATTTCTGACTCTCTCTGTACAGGGGGGAACTTAGAGTGAGGGAGGAAACGGCCACTTAATAATGGGAAAGAAAGCTAAAGCAGTTTACCAAGGGAATAACACAGAGCTTGAAAACTTTTTTGTTGTTGTTCTTTTGAGGCATGTGTTAGCTTTTGAGATGGGACTAGGGCAGGGCACTGGTTCAGTTCCCATGCACATATCATGAAATGCAAACCTTCATCATTCATAACTTGAAAAAGTGCCACCATGACTAAGCACAACCCTGAGTGTCACCCAAGGGTGACCTTGGGCACATCAGAGCCTCCTTCCTGCAGTAGGGTTCATCTGTTCTTGGCACTCAAATTGGGCCAGAAAGTAAAGGAGCTCTGAGATACCTAATGAACAGCCAGGACATGTCTGTCATACCATCAGACCATTGTTGAAGAGCTTCCCCACACTCTTGAAGCAGCCAGATGGAGTCTGACTTTTAATCAGGGCACTGGCAGCATCCTTTATATTCTGCTCATCTATGTGGATGAAGTCCCGGGCTTGGCTGAAGGTCTTGAGGACAAGGGCAGTAAGCCTAGAGCCAAGGAAGGGAGAAGAAAATTGAATTGAACCAGTCACTGATGCCAAATTCCAGTAGGAGACAGGAGTCTCTGTGTCTTCCACTATCTCATCCCTGGAGAAATACCAGCAGGCCAGAGCCCCTGTGCAGATGGAGAATTGGAAGTAATGCACATGAGTTAGATGCTCTTGAAGCTCAAGCTCAGATCCATTTGCAGCAAGAGAGAAAAAAATTGACTGACAGTTCAGTGCTTCACCCAGAGCAGTGTCAATTCCAACAGGGTGCACTTGTGTAATTTAAAGCCAGGAGGCCTGATATTTAGTGAGCTTACTCAGCCCCTTTCCCAGTCCTGTTTGTGCACAAAGCACTCTGGAAAACCTGGAAAGAAGGTGTCTGCAGCCAAGTTTTCAGAATCAGGCTCAGTTGTGGTGCCCAAGCACAAACAATCAAACAGGGGTACCTCAAGTCAGTTCATTGGCACAGTTCTCTTCCAAAAAGTCTCACGAGCAGTTTCTGTTCAAAACTCCATACCTCCAGACTCCCTCAGTTTCCCCAGACCAAAATCCAAGCCAGCTTGAGCCTAACCAGGTCAAGCTGTTGTTCCTCAGCTGCGTCTGGATATGTCTGCTTACCATGTGTTCCCTGGCTCACTGCCTTCCCCAAATGCACTGTACGAGCCATCTGTGTGCTTGTAGAGGAGTTGCCGTTGATATCCTGTGGGAAGAGGCTAGGGGTAGTGAAGATGCTCTGTGTCTGTCGTGTGCTCAAGGTGCCAACCTGCCCCACCAATCCTGCTGATCATTACAGAGAGCATTGTCTCTGAGGAATTCAGCAAAGGGCTTTTAGAGGGGTGCTGTGTAACCCTTGTTCAGCTGAGACACAGCAGCCTGATTTACACTGCTGTGATTCCCATGGTGTCAGGCAAGTGACGTTGCAGAAATCCTGTTCAGCACCAAGCCTCTGCTGAGGTCCCCACTGCACAACCTACTGTAGTGGACATCACCAGCTTAATAACCCAATATGAGCAGAAAACCACTCACCGCTTTCCAGATAGCCAATTGCCTTTTGTTTGATTTCTGGAGTCAGCTGTCCTGTTTCTTCAAGGTATCGTGTGATAAAGACATTGGGGGCAAAATGAATCATGTTCTGCTCACCACAGCCACTGGACATCTGGAGGAGCTCATCTATGTTGTCCAGTGCTGTCCCCAAAATATCGCCTGTAGAACAGAACCACAGCTTTGGGGGTTTTACATATTCTTCCATATAAAAAATTTCTGGTCTCACCAATTCTCCAGATAACCTGCTAAGACTGGTCTCAGTTCACCTCTGCTCACACTAGGGTGATTCTAATGTCTATAAATCCCTGCAGGAACAGTGATATGGTACTTGTCTATCTTTCCTTTGTCTGGGTGAAATTATACATCCATCTGGCCCAGCGTCACTTGTATAAAAGAGAGATGGGATGCTTCTCTGGAAGGCATAAGAGCCCAGTATCACACCTGTACACATTCCCTCTTGTTACTCTGTTTGCTAAAGCAGACATGGTGGCACCAGAAGAAAAGAATCCTGCAGGAAAAATCTTACTTTCCAAGATGAACCTGCCCCCCCAACCCCTCTCCCCCCAAATCTCACCTAAGAAAGAGACATGGGCTCTCTCCGACCCAAGGACCACATTCTCTGGCATAGTGAAAGTGATTATCTCTGAAGCTGAAGTTCCTGCAAATGACAAAAGCATCAGAACAGCCAGGAGGGAAATGGCACACCCACAGGCATCCCCAGGAGATGATGTAGACAAGGCTGGGATCACTTCATCAGTTGGTGAAATCAGCATTCAAAAGAGATGATGACAGAGAGGTCAGGCCACCCACTGATGAGTGACTAACCACTGTAATGTGGTTAGGCAGTGGTTTGGTGCTGTCAGAAGCTTGTAGTACTGGCTGGAGCGGAATGGCTTTACCTCCCCACAAAAGACCCAAAATCCCTGACTTTCCCCTCCCCATACACCTCCAGATAGTCCTAGAGTTGTTCACACACTACACTGCTTCTGTCTGTTTGGTCTCCTTGCTCTGTGCGCATGTACAGACCCAGTGGTAAGACAGTCCCTGTCTCTGGGGTACCTGCACCTACCTTTAGGGCACAGGAGTGAGGTGTGGGTCTTTTCCTCCAGCAGCCCCTCTGCCTGGTGGGGAAAAGGCTGGTCAGCTCAGAAGGGAGAGCAGTAAAATGAGATAGCAGTGGCGCAGCACCCCACCTCCCTGCAAGCACCATCCGCATGGGCCATGCAAAGGGCCTCACACAGACAGCAGGATATGCATGATGACAGTGAAGTTTCACTGGGAAGCAGGTTTCTGAGCTGCTACCCTGGACTTTGCCCCCATTGCCCTGCTAGCAAGTAGTTCTGATGTCTCTGCCCCATCAAATGGAGATGCTCAGCTCATGCCTTGACCCAACCTACCCTTAGAATCCCTCCTTGACCAACCTCCCTACATGCCTACCAGCCAATTCTCCCTTCCCAGAGCCACCCATCAAGCTGTTTTGATCCTGACCCAGTTGTGACCTTGCCAGGACCATGAAGCGTACTCTGACCTTCACCAGCAGGTGTTTAACCACTGTGTCCTTCCCTCCAGACTCTGGCACGACAGCTGTACTCTCAGTGCAAACACCTTCCTGCTCCATCACCTCAGCAGTGACAGTGAAATTTGCCTTCCCTAAAGAACAAAACATCAGAGGCCAGCTGGCACATCCATGCCTACATTTTAGTTTTCTCAGCCTAGGGCTGCTCAACGTCCACTTCGCATAATAGGCCATTCCCTTCCAGCCCAGCTCTGGTTTCCTCAAGCAGCTCTGCCAGTGCCTCCCACTCCTGCCCCTTCCTTGTCCCCTTACCTAATTTTGTAGCCTTCACATCCCAGAAAAATGTTTTTGCTGAATCAGGACACAGACAAATAGTGAACTTGACATTTGCATGCACAAATTCAAAATCCGTGGAGTCCTTTAGGCTAAGCTGGAGCTAGAGGTGAAACAAAAGGGAGTTTGGGTTACAACAGAGCAGCTGCTGTGTTTTTCCTTTCAGCTCCTTGATCCAAATGTCAGTCAAGCCCAGAAGCCCAGGGTGAGTATGATGATGGCCCTGTTGCAATACCTGTGGGACACCAACGGCCCATGGACATCGACGTCGCAGTCCTGTAGGACTGAGTTTATGGGGAGGGATAAGCTCGACAGAGGTGGCTCTGCATGGAGCTTTGTGAATAGCTTTGTAAGTGTCTTTTGCCTGGTGCCTGAGGAGGCAGCCCCTTGTCTGGGTCTCCATCGGTGAAGTGCTGTTACCACACATCCCCCTGCCCAAAAACCACCCTGGAGGGAGCCACTCACCACCATGCACTGCTTCAAGTAGCTGAAGACTTTGACTTTCAGGGGAAATGACTCTCCCCGGAAGACAGAGTAGGGCAAAGTGGGTTCCACAAAGAAGGGCTTGAAGCTCTGCAGGCTGGCGGTCTCTGAGATTCCCAACCCATGGCTCTCTGAGGTGCAGAAGGTCATGGCTCTCCAGTCTGTGATACTGTCAGGTACTGTGATAGCTAGATCAGCAGCCCCTGAATCACTAGGGAGAAAACAGAGTGGAAGGGATTGTCCCCATCCCTGCAAAGATTTCTTTGGGGAAAACAAAAGCGGAAGGACTATGAACTGGAAGTGCATGTGAAGGTGTGGGGATTCCTGGAAGTAGGACAGAGGTATGGGAAGGAGAGCAGATAGGTGGGCAAGGAAGAACTGAGAGGCAAATGCAAACCAAAATTTGCTTCTGAACAGTCTTGCATCTCAAATTCTTGTTTTGTGTGTGCACACAGGGCTCCCAAGGGTCCATGTTATACACCCAGCCTGTGCCAGGGAGTACCATGTGACATTTCTACCACACTACCACCCAAACTCCCAACCGCAGTCATCATTATAAGTGTCACTTACAGATCTGCATACATAAAACAGAAGATGGTCCCTGCCCTGAAATGGGCATAATCCAGCCAAATGAAATGGAGAGGTAGAGATCCTATTTTACAGATGGAGATGGAGAACACTGGTATGGGGGAGAATTAAGAAAGCTGAGATATGTGAATAAGGGGAGAACAGTGGATGCTGCATAACTTGACTTTAGCAAGGCCTTTGACACAGTCTCCCATAGTAGCCTTGTAGCCACATTAGTGCGGACTGGACAAGTGGATGATAAGGTGAGCAGAAATTTGCTGGACCATTGGGGACAAAGGATGGTTATTGGTGACACAAAGTCCAAGTGGTGACTATTTACGCATGGCATCCTTCAGGGACTGATACTTGGGCCAATACTGCTTAATGGATTTATTAATGACCTGGATAATAGGAGAGAGGACATCCTCAGCAAGATTAGCAGACTAATCTTGCTATGTATTAGCAAACCATACCTTGTTGGGGAGGGGTTCCTGATATGCTGGAGGGAAAGGTTGCTATTAAGAGGACCCTTGACAAGCTGGAAAAATGGGCTTGAAAATGGGTAAATTCTGTATCTGGGATGGAATAATACCATGCAACAGTACATGCTAGGCGTTGACTGGCTACTAAGCAACTTTGCAGAAAAAGAGATGGGGGATAACAAGTTGAGCATGAGACATCTCATATGCGCTTACAACAATGAAAGACATCTACTTCTGGACTGCATTAAGAAGACTGCAGCCACTGGCTTGAGAAAAGTTAATTTTTTCACTGTATACCCCCATTGTGGGACCACATCTGGAGTACTGTGTCCCATTTTTGCTTTCCAGTATAAGAAAGATACTGACATACTTAAATGCATCCAGTGGAGGACTACCAAGATGGCCAGAGGGCTGGGACACTTGATGTGCAAGGAATGGCTGGAAGAACTGGGGTTTTCAAACTTAAGAGGGAATGCTAGGGGAAGATCTTTCAGTTTTCTAAAACTACCTATTGGGAAGGTGTAGAGACAATGGAACCAGTCTCTTCTGAGGTGTATATTGATAGGATGAAAGGTAACAGACACAAGTTAGAACATGGGAAATTCTGATTTGAGATAAGAAAAAAAAATATACTATGAGGATGGCCAAACACTGGAACAGGTGCCCAGATAGTTTGTGGAATCTCCATCCTTGGAGATACAGAGAAATCGTCTACAACCTGATCTAACTGGACCTGTCTTGTGCAGGACATTGAGCTACAGACCTTTGGAGACCTCTTCTATCCTGTAAGAGTCTGTGATTTTAAATTCCCCAGGATCATTTGGAAAATCTCATGCAGATCCAGGAACTGAACCAAACCTCCATTGTCCTTATCCACTTCTTCACACCTCCCTTTTCTTTGTGGGCACAGAAGGCAATAATGCCCTGGCTCTGCTCCTGCCCATTCCTCCTCCACTGTGGCTGGTAGGAGGTCTGGATCCATGTGGTGCCACAGTCCATAATTACTCACTTGATAGGAACCAGAGTCCAGATGAATGTCTCTGGAAACCAGGTACGTACTGGCCCTGCCTCGCTACCCAGCTCAACATGCTCTGACTCAGCACGTTCAACAGCAGCATCTGTTTCTGGGTCCAAGTTGTCCAAGTCTGCCAGCTCGCCATAAGCTATTGGGAATACAAGCATTCATTGAAAGGCAGAGCAACTGTGAAGTCAGGATAGAGTTCAGCTGGGAAAAGCTCAGCTCTCCATCCCTCCCACTCCCACTCCAATCCCCCTTGTCCTCTCCAAGATGTCCTCAACCTACTTCACTATTCTCTTCCACAAGACAACCCAGAAGACCATGTGGATTCCACTATGTGTGTGCTCTCCCACGAGGAACTCCACCTGCTCACGCTTCTGCTCTCAGCCCCCGCAGAAAGGCCTAGATACTGCCTGGCGCCAATCTTGGCTCATTCTCTGGTTTCCAGCAAGACCTTTCCTAGTCTTACAAACAGATGTTCCTTCCTGAGACAACTGCATCATTTCCCCCATTGACCATGTTATTTTTCTACCTGCCAGCAGAAACTTCCAAGCAGGTTCTCCCTATGCAGCCACCTCTCTGCCCCTCCAGTGCACTGGACACACACACACACACACACACACACACATCAGGACACTTCCCCTCTTCTTGCGGTGCACACCTCCTGTGCAACCTCCCACTCATCTCTGGAAGCCACGCCCAGTTCCTCAGCACACTGCATGTTCAGCTGCCCTTGTGCAGCCTATATGTTACCCGTGATTTCCAAAGAAACAGGATAAATCGAGATGTACACATGTAGTCGTAGTAGAAAGTGGTCTGGGTGCGGCACTCAATTGGAGACTTGATTTTAAGGTTGGTTAAAAATGTTAGACCTGAATTCTGGAGGAAAGAAGGGGAAGAAAAGAAGGTAGACTTCAGTGGAGGGAGTGGTGTGTCTGAGGGTCTGTCTCTGCCTCTGCCTCCCAGCATATCAGCCACCCTGTGTTTTTGCACCTCAGCCTGACCTGCGAATTTGTACAGAGAATGCAGAACCACCCTACTCCCAAAGCCCGGTCCTGGCCCCTCACATGAGGGGAGGATCTCTCCAGTCACAACCCCCCCAGGATTGTGGGGGTGACTACTTGCATGTGCATGCCCATACACAGTCATTCTTTTGGCACTGCATTTTGCTGCCCACCCTAACACAGACTTGTTCTTATCCTTCACCTGCTATTCCTTTCTACTATTCTTTCCCTCCTTTCCCCAGTCCCCCTTTTCTCTCAGGGGTTTTGCTTTTCCAACCTCCAATTTTCTCTGACTCTCCTTCCAACCCATAGAAAGTCTGAGGGTCTCGAGCTTGGGATGAACAGGGAGCTGGGTTCTAGGCATCTGCCTGACTGATGGGAATTTATCAAGCTGGGAGCATGGGGTGTCAGAGATCTCTTAGTTCAGAAGCTTGGCAAATTCAGAACCTGAATTTGCTAGCATTTACAGGAAAGACAGTCTGCAAAGCTACCCAGTGCTGACCTGGGATACAAAAGGACTCAGCTCTGATATTCAGGTTTTCTGGAAATTAGATTTACCTTCAGAAGTTCATAAATATCTGGTTGGGACACTGCATAAGAGTGTCTGTTGTACATGAACGGTGACATTGTTCCTGTTGGAAGGGTGGTCTGAGGAGAACCGATGATTCCTGGGCTCTTGTGGATAGTACAGTAGTCACTGTAAGAGTCTGTGAGGGTGCTGGGATGCTCCTCAGAATAGCTGAACATATTGTATACCTGTAGACAGACAACAGTACAGGTCAGTGTGAGAGGTGGGAAGGTTTTCATTCAAGAGATTTTCTGTGACTTGAGAGGCAGAGCTCAGATCCTGCCTGACACAAAAGCCCAGACCCAAAGGTTTTTGAGCTTCATGAAGACCCTCCACAAGTTTGAGCTGCATAGCACCAGAGATGAACACGAACCCCTCTGGGGTACGGCTGCATAGCTGTGGCCACTTCTATCTCATAAATTGTACCTGTGAGCTCAATGCATAGAGTGAGGACACCTTCCCATTTAGATAGCTTCTTGTCTGACTGAAGGCACATCCTGGATCCACCAAGACAGCGTCAAGAGGTAATGCAAGGGTCCTTAGATCCAATGCATACCACATCTAGAGAAGAAACGGAACCCTTCCACTGCCAAGGCACCACTTACAGTCCAGTCTGCGAATAGGAAGGACTGTCTGGTTCATGTGAGCTGGAACAAAGGCATGGAGCCTATCACACTTTGGGCATTTTTTTCAACATAACCCTCTTTTTAAGAGCATTGTCATGAATTGTTCAGGAGATGGAAGTCTCTTGCCATCTGGTTGCCACTGTAGCAAAGCACTCTAAGTTTAACAAGGATATGACTTTGGGCTGTACTTGGGGATGACAGTAGGTTATTTTATTAGATACCTCCGTAAAGACTGGAAATTTTGACTGGTGTTTGATGTTGGCCTTCATTTTTTCTTTTTAAGCCATGTCCTGTCCCCATTCAAATACTTATTGGTATATCCACTGTGCCTTATTAACCAGTACCTGTGACCAGATACTCAAAAGTTCTCTCTCCGGTTAGTACTGGAAGCTCAGTTAATACTGGAGGCAAGGCTCAGGACTAAAGTGACTCACACTATCCCTGGATAGCTCAGCCTCTGGCCTCAGGAGAAGAATGCTCTGGTCCACAGCACGGATACTACATAGGGAGCCTGGTGCAGCATGCAAATGGAGATGGACAGCTGATCCTGGGAGAGCCACAGAGTCTGAGAAGCCAAGCTTCACCTGAAACAGCAGAAGAAAGAGGGACTGAAGATATTGATGGAGGAAGGAAAGGGGAGACTGTGGCTACTGGATTCTGATGAACATCTATTGCCAGTTTGCAGTTAATTAGCTACCCTCCAGCCTACATGCCCCCTTATGTTTTGTGCACTACTTACATGGTTCTTGAAGCACTTGGAGACTTTCAGACTGAAGGTGTCAGCTGCCACCTGTCCCTCAGGGAAGGCAGTGTAAACAAAGAGGGTAGCCATGGGTGAAATAAGGTCAATGGGCAGTGTGACATTGAAAGTCCCATTAAACTGACCTGAAAGAAGAAGGAGAAATAGAAAAAGTATAGGAAGAGGCAAGGAAGTCTGTCACCAAAGATGACAGCAGCAACATGCTCATCCTCTATAATATTTCTGTACAGTTACTTGGATAAAAACTATTCTGCCTTGCTTCTGGGGAGGCCACAGCTAGACCATGATGCAGGTTGGTGCCATTTTGTAGCAGTGACCTTACATCATGAGGGATCTCAGCAACAGTGTGCACTTGGAAAAGAAAGGACTTTCCACCTAAGTCCAGCAAAAAGTTCCTGTGAGTTTTCTTGGTGGTGTCTGATAGTTCCTACTTGGCAGATAAACTCTGACAATTTCATCATTTGATCAAAAAAAAAAAAAAAATTAGGGAAATTAAAAGACAGAAGAGAGATAGCATATTTGCCATTTCCTCTTGATTTTTTTGTGCCAGCTCTGTTGTTTCCTGTTGGCCTCAGATCTCTTTTCTCTCCTTCCCCATTTAGGCTGGAAGGGCTTTCCTGTTGGGTCCTTAATCTGTTCCTGGTATTTAGATGCTCTTACCTAATGGTGGATCAAGAAGCACTGTTGTTTGGCCGTGATGCACAAGGGATCCTCTGGCCAAAACCTAAAGGGTAATGAAGAGAGCAAAGGGTTGATAGTGCCTCTGCTCCATATCTCTGGGCCAGCAAAGGGCTGTGTGCTGACAGACTGTCACAAAGCTGACCTTGTTACTGGTACTGCCCTGCACTCACCAGGTGGTAGAAGTCTGCTCTGGCAGCCCCGTCCCCCAGCTCTGTGGCTAGGATGCGATAGTGCACAGTGACCTCCTGCACATCCCTGCAGGGCAGCATTGCCTGCACTGGCTGGATCCTCACAGAGCTGCAGCTGGAAGAGTAGAAGGCCCTCAGTGTGAGGGATGCAGTGCCATAAGACACCTTCACATTTCGACCGCTTAAATCATCCGGCTGGGTCTTTGCCTGTGGCACAGAAAAGGTGGCTTGGTGTCTGAAGATTTCTTACAGCTCTCCCCACGCCAAAACCAAGACTGACTGGACAGTGGGGTCTGAATGCTCCCAGGGTAAGACGTCTATTTTCACCTAAGCCAAGCTTAGTCAGCCCCTTTCTGTGGAACTTGGCATTGCCTGCTCCACCACGCTCTGGCCAGGGAGCTGTATAATACTGTTCAAGCTTGGGCTAGAGCCTGAACTTCTGCAATGCTGCTGCTACCCCGGGAGCAAGCCAGATCATTAGACTGTGTAGAGTGGCTTATTGGTCCCTGGATCAAACCACTGAATGCTTTGTTCCTGTCTAGTACATGTGGGGAAAGTGTCAGCATGGATCTGCCCTGAAAACGTATTTCACCGTTCAGTGTTATTCCACTCACACACTTGATCCGTAGGGGAGAGGTGGCAGGGGACAACTGAAGATCAGTAGCCTTGTTCATCTTTGACCTATGACCTATCTGCACTGAGTCTATGATATTAACATCTTGTGGACTTCCAGCAAGGTCAAGATCCATCATCTAAGATACTGTAGGCACTCTGATAAAGAGGCAGGGCTTGCCTCGAAGTGCAATCCTGAAGTTTAGATAGGACAGGTATTAGAAACCTACCCCTACAACCAGACAAAAGATCCTTCCTTGTTCATGGGAAAGCAGGTGCAAACTTTTCTCTGTCAATTCCTTGTCGGTGGCATGCCTGTTTAGCTCCTTACATCCTGGTTACCTTCTCTGCTCTAGACTGGCTTGCAGCAACTTGTTCCTTACTAGCCTTCCTTCTTTTGCTCCTAAGTTTTCTGCTTCTTGTATCCCAGGTTTCTCCTAAGTCTTGTGCTATGAGGAAACATAATGCAAACTGGTCACTGACGTTTTCTTCTCCACATGTATTTTCAGATGCTTCTTCCCTAGATCCTTTCCTATCTTCCTGTTCCACACCATGTGGGAGTTCTTCCTTTGCTCTCTGTCCCTGCCCAGCCCCACAAGGCCCTTTCCACCTCAGACAGAGGTGCTATGTAGGTAGACCTCAGTTACAACTTCATGGGGCCTCTGTCCACTGCCCCACCTCTCATCATGTCTCCTGACTGCGCAGGGACTGTGTGCGGCACCAGGGGCCAGAATGCTGGCTCTACTATGGGCTATTCTTCTTGCCCTAGATCTGTCATTTCACTACTCCATGCCTCCATCTCCCTGGCTATACCAAGACAATGACATAGACTATAGGTCTGAGGGATGCATTGCTTAGTCATAGCCAAATCCAATGTAATTATTTGGCTTAACCTGTAGCAGAACTTTACTGCTGTTGCCCCATGCTGATGTCTCTAAGGTGAAAGAGGCCATCCCAGCATCATCCGTGAAGTAGGTCTTGGTCTGCTTCCTGCTACCATAGGACACTGTAAGAATCACCTCCTTGTTCTTCATGTGTGTCCCATTGGCACTTTTGAGTTCCAGCTGTAAGGGTGCAGAGAACAGGCAGAGAATTGGAGGCCTCAGGATTGAAAATCTATCTCCCAGTAGAAATCCCAGTTCCCCTCTCTGCAAAGGGACTCTCAGTGTGAACTCTAACTCCGCCAACCCCTCCCCATTTATTCAGCAGCCATCTCATCTGGCAAAGCCATGTGGTCACACCTTTGGATTACCTCTTGGTAGAGACGTCAAAGGACAGAGGACTGTGCTAGCAGCTTTGGGCAGCTCAGATCAAGGCACACCTCAGTACTTCTGTGCCTGCCATCCCTTTAGGCCCAGCTGCTGGACTTTCCACGTTTCTGCCCTGTTCACTTACATTTCCATAGTAGGGAGCTCCTTGCTGATAGTAGTAGCTTGTCCCCCAGAACTGGAGAGTTGTAATATCAAAAGTGACCTTGCAGTTTTCAGTGGCATTAAACTCCACCCCTAGGAAAGACAGGAGATGCATGCAGGTGAGTATCGTGTCTGGGCAAAGGGAGCAAGACTGGATGAATTGAGGTAAGGGATGGACTATCACTCATAGGGGATTGTAGTTTCTCCATGTAACTTCAGGAGTCATTTGACACACACACACTCAGCAATAGTGCCTCTTACATTCTGACCTGCTAGAACGACAGCAGTCTACCAGGAGGTCGCTGCCAGGCAGTTCTCAAATGCTCTTTCTGACTTTGTTTAAGATAGTCCTACATGTCCACTTCCATTCTCACAGCAGAGTCACTAGAAGGCAACATTTTTCCTCGCCTTCACTATGTTGGTTTACCAGTCTGCTGTCTTGTCATGTGGTGCCCATCTGAAATCACTGCAGTTGTTTGCTATGCGAATGTGTGTCACTGCTTTCAGCAAGGGGCTGCAAAACATTTTTCTTGTAAGGAAGGGTTTGTAAAATTTTGTAAAAGAGGAAGCCTTACAAGATGGGATATTTAACAGTAGCTCTGGACAAGTAGCCTTATCTTCATATCTGGGATGTGGCGATAAATCTGATGAGGAGCTATTAACAGTACACAGTCAGAGCCTTGGTTACACTGGTTGCTCTGAGTATCTCCTCATTCAAATGGACTTTCCTGAAGTATGGTTTAAGAACAAAAGAACCTGGCCTGACCCACCTCTGTGCACATTTCTACTGTGACTAGAAGATGAGAAAAGCAGCTCTTGCTCATCTCTGTCCAACTAAGGTGACTGTCAGAGCTGGAGTGGCCACAACAGCTTGTGGAGGAGCAAGCATACGGGTAAAGCCCATCCTGCAACTGGGAGAACTCACATGTCTTTTCTGAGTCAGACCTGGGTGGTATGGTACATGAGAACATCCATGCTGCCATGGTGCTCCCAGGGAAGACACAACCCTCTGAACACTTGACCCCATGGGAGCCAGTGCAGAAAGCTCCAGTGGTTTGATGGGAAGACGCAAGGATCCATAAGGAGTCTTACAGATGAAAACCCATAGACAAGCATGTTGTATGAGTGTAAAGTAAAAGATTTTCCATGAAGTGTAGAATCAGTTTTTGCTACCTGTTCCACTTTCTTTCAGAAAAGCCACAGCTTCCAGGTTGAAATCATAATTGTCACCACGCTTCTGGTGGTAGATCTTAATATTCACCTCAGTGGCAAAGCAGCCATCCTTGTTTGTCTGGGGATGTGAAATTGTATCTGTTAACCAATCATGAATGCACTAATCCCTTCTGCAGTGCAGATCAAACCCAAGGCCCAGAAGTCTAGTACATGGCTAAGACACTTGAGTTAAAGGAGCAACTCCCATACTGGCATGAAACATACTTCTTTTCTGTGGAGCAGTCACTAATAGGAGATGCTGTTTCACACATGTCTCATCTTTACACACTCACTCATGTGCCAGTAGCAAACATGAGTTGTCATTTCTCCCTGACAACATGATTTCTTCTGCTAGGGCAGGATTTATCTTTAAAAATAAGGGTTACTTAAAATATGTAAACAAATATAGATACTTTCTTTCAGCCCTAGAGATGAATGAGTAAAGTCTGTGCTGAACTGCAATTGCTTGCTTAGATAACAAGAGGTAATTTCTGTGTCTCCAAAACAGCTGTTTCTGGGAAAGAGCACATAAGTGTTTACAACAGATTAAAAGGTGGTGCTAAAAAGCATCTAGTGGAAGTGAACCAATGTGGACAGTGTTTTGTATTTTTTTTATTGCCCTGTTGCAGTACCTGTTTTGTAGGCAAATCTGCAATAGTTAGCTTGCCTACAGATGCTTCTTCCTTTAAATACATCTAAATGCAGTCAGAGAAATCAGAGAGGGGTTAAGATTGCTACATAGGGGAGTTAAGGACATATTAGTCATTTATCCCCAGCAAAGAGCATGCTGCTTCAATAGCCAATGTCTGTTCCACTCCTTCCATTTGTATTCTTCCCTCTCTTTTCCCCTGTTCCTCTCTTTTGCAAAGAGGAGTGGATGCCCCATGTGCTCACCTCGCCAGTGTAATCCTTACAAATACCGCGCTTGGCTTTGGAAGACTTCCGATTATAGCGGATATGTTTACGGCACACCACAGCCTTCACACTACCTTGGACTGGTTTCCCATACGTGTACCTGGCAAACACAGCAGAGAAGACTTACGCTCACATACAGAAACACTGGCTCAAGGGTGAATAATATCAGCTTTAGCCTGTGGTTTGCAGCCATATAACCCAGCAGCCTGCAGTATCTTCATGGTTCATGAGCTCAGCAGAAGCCAAGAAGTTAAAATTACTTCATCATATTGAGCCAGAAGGCAGTGGTGGGTGAGTTATCTCCAAGTCAACACTAGTCCCACCAGGCAGTGCTAGGGGACATCTTGCAGGCCGCAAGCTGAGTCATTATTCTTTCTATACTGGCAGAGGTACTGTATTGTAGGGCACATGCCCCACTGAGGGGATCCACTGCCAAACTGTCAAACTCACAGAGAAAGAAGTAGGGAGAGAGAATATGGAGAAAGGTGAGAGTCCAGGAGAATTCCTTAGCAAAGCATGCCAGGGTGCCAGACTTTGGGGTGGGGGTAGGGTTGGCAGACACCATTTTGAGCTCAGTTATTGATAGCTGTGCAGTTTCCAAACCAGTAAGAATGCACCTTCTGCCACGGTAAGTCAGCTCACATGCCACAAATGTGGAGACGGAAGTTCTCCTCCAAGATGGTGACCACCTGAGGCATCTGGATGGAGACACTGAACTTGGGCAGGACTGTGTAGAAGCAAGAGAAATATAATTCAGTGAGAACAGAGAGAACGAATTTGTTCCAATCCTCCCCAAATAGTTGTTCACAGAAAAGAAATCTCTCCTTTCATTCCCTGACTACCAGCACAGGGCCTGGTAGCAATGCACCAGCAGCCCAGCCAGGAGTGTGGTGGGAGTAGACAGCCTTAGACTCCTCCCCAGAGCACAGCTGTGGGACAGTGCCTTAGTCTGTCCTCAGGACACAGGGGAGGAGAAAGCCAGTGGGCCTGAGTGAAAGTCAGTGATTACACCTACTGTCAGGCAGTTGGACATCTCAGGTGCTACCACAACTAGCACAGCTGTTCACAGCTGCATGGCCCATTCAACTCTGTGTGAGACAGCAGGGCTGGAGGCAATACATCTTTCTCTGCTGCCGTCAGCTCCCTGAAATTCTTACCATACTCCTCTACCCTGAAGGTATGTGTGCGGTCAGGCATTTTGATGGTGTACTCTCCAACCTGTGCTTCTGCAGCCAGAGGGAAGGACAGATCCACGATGCCTCCCACAGGTGTAACATTCAGCCACTGTGCAATTCGGTTCCCTTTGGGGTCCTGCATAGGCAGTAGTAGAGAGTAGTTATTTCCCAGTGCAAAAGGAGACTCTTGTGCAGGATGTCCAAGTTACCACAGCATGGTCTGAGCACATAACCTTTTCTCCTGAGAGCCCAGGTCTATGACACAGCTACAGTGCTCAGGTGAGTCCAGGTTTGAAGAGGATAGGGCTTTTCTCCCTGTCTCATTGACAAAGTCAATCTATAATATTATTGCTCTGGTGGAACCTCCATCTCACTGACTGCTGCAAATGGTGGTTTACTGCCTGCCTGTCTCACTAGGAGATAGAGTCCCCTGTGGTGATCTGAGCTGGTATAGCCCCCAGGTCACTGTGAAGAGGGTCAATCCTGACAAGACATGCTGCCTAAGGCACGAGCTACTTGGGAGTGCTAACTGGGGAGTCTGATGTCATGAATTCCAAGGAAAGTCTGGGGAAATGAGTTCCAGCACTTCATGCAGGGGACCATGAAGCCCAGTATAGAAAGGAGGATGTAAAGACCTGGGATGCAAGGGCATTTGGTGGCTTTGTTGACTGCCATGGTCAGTCCATGATGGACAGTGTTCTCCTACTGCTGGTTCTTGGGAGGGCAAGATGCAGAACTCTGGCTGTGGTCACACTGCCCAGTCAGGAAGGACTTAGCAATATGTTGATGGGTGCTTTATGAACATATGGAACAAGTGGAAACTGTTGTTTGAAAGGGTGAAGCTGGATCAGAGTACTACGTTTGTATAAACTCACATAAAACATTGCATACATGTCTCAGAAACCATGTGTTTATGTATTGATTGCTTGGTGGGTATGGCATGCAAATGTGCATTATCTACTGGCAATTGCTAGTTGGAACTGTGACGTGTCTGCATGTGTTATTACAAACTTCCCACTGCTTTCTGGTATCTTTCCTCAGCTCTGGTGATTGCAGTCCATATTTTACCTATAATATTGAAACTAAACTAACAGATTTTAAGAACAGTATCTTGAAAGCTGCTTTAGGAAGTTTCTCTAGCTGTGTAGCTGCAACACTAACTGGTCAAACTTTTTTATTTTCTGTATGTTAGATATAAAAGTCTCCTTAAAGAAACTTCAGGATTTTCACAAATCTTCAATTCACAGGCTAGAGGGACTAAAAGTCCTGTGACTGCTCTAGAAAAGTTTGCTGGACTGGTTTTCAGTGGCACCCATCACCTACTGCAGGGACCCCTGTGTGATTGGTATCATGACACTGCACTGCCAAACTTGTGTGGATACTAAAGGAAGGAAGGACAAGAAGTTGAGGACTGTTCCCACTCCTTCTGCGGTAACTGGCTTTCTGCATCCACATTTCCCCACCATCATCTCCAAACCTGTGTCTTCCCCTGGGCGAGAAGCCATCACCACTTTCAATAAAGTAGATGCTTTACCTTCAGTTCCACCAGACGGTGCTGTGGGGAGGAAATAACAGTTACTGGTGGGATGCTTTCAGGAAAGTTACCGTCCACCTCCCTGGCATTTTTTATCCCCCAACCATCCATGAGTCTTCCCTAAGCAATTCCCAGGGACTGCCTGTGACCCAACATCACGAGCAGCTCCTGTGTTGCAGGTGGTGCCCAGTGCTGTTTGTAAGCACCAAAAGCAACACTGAAACTAGCTGTCCACAGATGGATCACCTAGCTGGGCCAAGCACTGATCCAGAAGTCACGGAGGCAGCCCACAGCATTTTCAGACTTATTAAGGTTTCTCCCCTCTTGACTTACCATTTCATTGCTGGCAATAAAGTTCTGATCCAAGGTTACAACTCGCAACTTGACTATAGAGCAAAAGAAAAACAGGACTGGCTGAAATGAAATCAAGTCTGTTAATAATAATAAGAATGCACAGCTAAGAAAGACGTGACCATGTGCTTCACTGAGAGGGCGTGGGCAGCAGCTAGAGCCATCGACTCCTGGGCCTATGCTCAAAGCCCTGCTACAAGCTGGCAGCCTGCTAGATAAAAAGTAGTAGGAGAGGTAGTGTGGGCTTTCTGGGAAGGCTGGCTGTGCTGGTGAGAAACAGCATTTTTCTGGACATTGGACTTGCAGTGGGGCACTCAGTCTTGCCTGAAGGTCATGCCAATGGAAAGGGTGGAGAGGCATGGGACAAACAGCTGTACACTGTGGTGATCTGAGCTGTGCAGGACTGTGATCCTCATCTGAGGGAGTATGTGGTAAAGAGAGGGATTTAGGGCACTGACAGACTACTGTGGCTTTGACTGGAGCAATCATGAATATAACACCATGGCACCTGAATCTTTTCTCATGCACCAGCCAAAACACACAAGCCCTATTCACCCTGGCATGCTGTCTGAGCATGGCTAGTACTGGGGAAAACACAAGCTATGCTGACGTAGGAGAGAGGTATCCCCAAATCCCTCAAAGCAGGAACAACCTGGAAGGGACATGAAGCCTGTAACCCATCTCCCTTGCAGAGCAGGCCCCACTCCAAGCGCTAGAGGCTACCCCGTATTTAGTGGCCTGAGGATCACTTTTTCTCTCACAAGACATGGCATTCTGTCCATACCAATCTGTCCAGGTTTGTATACAGGTTTGTCCGTCTGGATAAAAGTCTTCTTGTCTGCGTGCTTGATTAGGACTTTCTGTTTCTTATGATACTCTGAGTTGGTTTCCTGGACTGTGATCCCAATAAAAGCCACTTCATCAGGGTTTCCAACAGGACGAGGGACCTGCAGGCATAGTTGTAACCATCACTCAGGTTGGATCCCATTCACAGTTCCCCAGGCTTTTGGAATAACAGTTATGATACTGCTTTTATATTAATTCAGTTCTTATTGCCCTGAAAGAACTCACAGTACTTTTCAGAATATTTTCTAGAAGAGTAAAATATCAGTGGGGGTACACAGCAGGAAGGACACCAGCAGACCTATGCAGGCTGAAGCAGAATATTCAATGCCCAGTTAAGATGTCCCCACGGGAAGACACAATTCTTTGCTTTCCTACCCAGCCAGAGCACAACTGTTGCGCTATCCATACCCCACTGACAACCCTGGAAAATATATTTCTCACCTGGAAGCTTATGCAGTGAAAGAAGGTGAGCTGAGAGACGGACTGAGCGATCAGAGTCTCATTCCCAGCTCTGCTTTGCAAGGTTACTGTCACATGGATTGGGGCTGCTTGCTTTCTGCTGAGTTGGAGGCACACTGTCTCTGAGAACGGGTAGTAGAGCTGAGATGGTATTGCCACGGCATAATTTCTATTAAAAAAGAAAAAAAAAAGGTGAAACTGATTTTCTAAGAGGACAGGTTTTGACCACAGGATCTGGGTACTTCCTAATAAGACTTCTGGTCTCTTCATTCCACTGTCACAACGCCAGTGGGACAAGATCACACCATTCTTCTCATCTATTGGTACTGCAGCCATTAACACTAAGTCTGCACTACATGCTGCATGCACATATAAAAAGATAAAGTCACTGCTTCCAAAACTGAAAGTCAAAATAAGGTGAAGAGACCTCCCCATGTCGCCCAAAGGGATCAGCAGCACAGCTTGGCTACATTGCAGGTTTCCTGAGACTTCAGCCTTTTCACTGAACCACACTACGTATCACCATCAGTTTGCTTGTTTGGTTGTCTGCTTTCTGTCCTATCAGCTACTCTTGGGCTCAGAACCAATGCCAAGCATATGAGACCCAGTGTCCTAACTTAATGTCCCAGACGCAGTCTCATGAGCACCTTCTCTTCAGCTGCTGACACTCCTGTCCTCCTTGTTCTCTTATGCCAGATCTCACACCTCTGTGGATACTCTCACAGCTGTGCCCATAGACAACACCAAGAAGCTGCTCATATTGGGGTTTTTTCATCTTATACTGCACTGCAGCAACTAGGATCAAAGAAAAGACAATATTCAAGCAGGTTTGAAAACTCTTATCACTGACTCCTTCTGCTTACTGCCTCTGGACAGGATCAGCGAGAGGCATGTTTTGCAGCAGCAGGAGAGCAGGGCCTGGAAAGATCAGAACAGCAGGAGGCAGGGGGATGACCTCCTGGCAGTTCTTAGCTGGAGCTCAGCACCCTGGCAAGAGGGAGTCAAAGTCCTGCTGGCCAGAAGCCTTGAGTGCTTTCACAGCTGAGTGCTGTCAAGCTGCCTTGAGCAGCTTGTCTGCTGCAGATGGTAGGGAATCTGATAAAAGATGCCAACGGCATTTTGGTTTTCCTACTTAAGCTGACTCATGGCACCTCCCCACTGCCACTGGGCTACAGGATGGGATGAACACTAAAGACTTACTGCTTGAAACTCCCATACCTCCCTGGCTCCTAATGACCCTTTCCTCTGGAACATTTTCTTACACGCTTTGCCAATTCATCCCTCGGCCTTGCCTGATGAGCTATAAAAGTATGAGGCAGCATCTCTGAGACTGTCATTGAAGGATCCCAAGAGCCAGGCTGGATTACTTTCTCATGAATCTACAAAATATATTGGCATATAGTCAGGACAGCAGACAGCCTTATAATAATAATGGTAAGCATTATTTCCATAAAACAAAGCTTCATGCTGAAGGTAACAGTGGGAAACAGGTAGCAGTAAAGCATCATTTGAGCAGGAGCTGTGTCAGCCTATCAACATGTCCTAGAGGAAGAGGCTGTACTTTTGCTGGAAAAGATTTTTAAAATTAGACTTATGCATGTCACACCACACATGGCAGGAGGGAACCCAGCTACAACCCAGTCACATATTTCCCACTGTAATACCTACTGTTCGAGTACAGCCCTGTTTCTGTTTGCAGTTATGCCATGGCTGCAAAAGCAAAGGCCTTCAAAAAGCAAGAGCAAGTTCACAAGCCAGTATGTCACATCAGTGCCTGCTGGAACAGGAATTGCATTCCTGATAAAGTATATGAAGAGAAGCAGTGCTGGGAATTGTCCTTGCCAGAGGTTTCTTAGAAATTCTGAGGAAGCAGATGGCCAGCTAAGCCAGAATGAAGACATACAAAGAGTATCCCTATTAGATACCTTGGGCTCATGTTTGCCTGGTTTGTA